GAAGCAGTTTAGATCTAAAAAAAGGTTTTAGCAAACTGGAGATCTAAAGCTGAACATCAGGCAGATATTTAAAAAAACCCACACATTAATGTAGTTTATGTTTAATAAATTATTATTAGATGCAGCCATTGTAATTACCTAAATTTGACTTCATATCATTCTCTTGCAATCGCACGTACTGTTGCATTCAGGCTGGGAGAGTGAAGGGCAGGACTGGGAGTCGGTCAAAAGTGCTGCATGTGTATCGAAGATGATGATAGGAGAAAAGAACAAAGTGAGCAGATAGGTTACCTTATCAGTCTCTTGCTGCTCATTCTCTGGGCGTGGAGAGAGGACACTGTATCCCATCTACAATCTATAACTACTTGACACAATTCTGTCAGTCTGACTGTGTTGTTTATCAGGGCTTTGTAAATCTCAGGAATTAAAAGGACATAAATAATTTGGCAGGTACATTAGTTCCCTTATGTGTATTGATGTTTGTGTTTATTTGTCTGTAGTTTTCTAACTTTATCTATTGCTAGAAGCAACCAACTCAGACTGCCTTATTGACGCCAGGGGTTAGCAATAGATATGGACAGTATGGGTTTGATTTGCTAAAGGCAAATAGGCTGTTTACTTTGCAAGGGACATTTCCAATTAGCATAGTGACCATGGTAAAAATGTACTTTGCAAAAAATAGCCAATCACATGGAAGGAAACATTTTTAAAAACAGTATTTTTGCTTACACATGATTGGATGATGGAAGTCAGCAGAACTTCATCTCATTCACTGAGCAAAGGGTTAATTTCCTTGCAAAGTAAACTGCCTATGTGCCCATAGTAAATCAACTGCCTATAGATCCCTATGGATCTGGCAATAGATTTTGATACTGGTGGATGTAAATACACATTGATAGAAATTGTTGGCAATATATACTGGCAAGAAGGGCTAGCAATATATACTGACAGTAGACACTGACAGTATAGGTTGACAATAGAAACTGAAGCTAGTGGTTGGAACTAGAACAACCAGAGACACATAATATGTACTGACTAATTGGACTGACCTTTAAGGTTTGCAGTACAGATCTGCGGACACTAGTGACTAACACTATAACTACAGACCCCATAGCCCAACAATATATAGTGCGATAAACATTGTACAAGGCCCAACATTCCGTAGTCACCTAAGGCCCCCTTTTTGTTGCCTATAATCTCTCCATTCTGGATACTGCACTGACCATTGAGATGTACTGCTTTCTGTAGATCCATGTGGTCAGTAGACCATATAATGAACCTTTCCTAATGTAGACTTCTTTAAATTAACCACTCACATAACTAGGTAATTCGGATGGAGCATAGAATAAATAAAATACAGCAGCAGAGGTTACCTTCATTGAAGACTGATTGTCAGAACAGTTTATAGACCTAGAAATATGGGCAACTACATTTACATGCAAATCATAACATTTCCTGAAATTTGGCCCCTGCCTCTTCCTCCATTCCAATGCATGTTATAATGCATTTTTATTTTACTATATGTACATTCATGCACGTTGTAATGTGGATTTGTCATAATTTGTAGTAATATTCCTTGCAAATCATTTGCTATTGCAATAAAATATGAAAGCATGAAAACAGCAGTGACCACACAGTCTGGGTTTTGTGCACAGAATTTTATTTAGAGAATACAGAGAACATGGTGTAAAATATTGAGTATTTGTCAGGATCTGCAGATCAGTGCAAATCACAGAAGACATGGTTTCAAATTGCTTAACTGCACATCATTAATAAGAGATGTATTTACAAAGTGTCTTCATCCAAAGGGGCTGTGCATTCTACATGACCAACCATTCTGAAGACCATTCTATTTATGTACCCAGTAACATGTCATCCGCGTTATAACATCAGCTGCTTGGTTGGCACATACACTTTATGCTAGAATACATCTGTGCATATACGTGTGTGATTCTATTTTAGTGATCTAATATAGAGGTAAGTAGCTATGTGCAATTAGGAGTAGCCTATAGCAACCAATCAAAAATAATCCTGCATTGTCCTTAGTACTCTGAAAAATGACATATTGCGGTTGCTATTTGTTTCTGTACAGCATTTGCCTTTTTGTATTGTGTTTGTAAGTGGTGATGATACCGTTACAACTTCAAAGAAGTTTAACATGCAGATCTTTCACTGAAGCCAACTGAAATTTCAAAGCAATAAAGATACGGTTGTAAAATATATTCTCTGGTTGTATAGCAAATAACCAGTTGCAGAGCAATTCACTCTACGACTTCCATATCTAAAAACACTCATTTTTGCTGGTATTGCTGTGTGTATCTGATGCATGTAGATTATGAAGTGAATTGACTAAAGTCAAATAGGTAATTCACTTTGCAAGGAAATTTGTACTTTGGGGGGGAAGTCTCCTTTAGCTTGGTGAATGTGGTTAGATAATACTTTGCAAAGAATACCCAATTACATGCAAGGAAAATGAAAAAAATAAAATAAACAGAATTTTTGCTTTCGCATGACTGATGGTAGTCAGTAGAGCTTCACCTCATTCACAAGCTAAGGAGAAACCTACCCTGCAAAGTGCAAATTCTCTTGCCAAGTGAACATCCTATTTGCCTTTAGTAAATCAACCCCACTGATGCATTCAGAATCATGTTCAGTTGGAGATTGAGTATAGGATTCCCACATTGTTTGTCTGGGACATACCTGTGGGTCAAGTATAGCAAAATCTATTACTGGGAACCCCAAAATTGTTACCTACAGAACTGTGTGTGCACATCTCAACAGTCTGTAATACATCTGCAATAACAACAGCTTATTATCTGAATCTCTTTCTTGCATGTGATATTCAAAAGGAGAAACAAAGTTTCACATATTTTTGGGCCTGCATCTGCCTATTTTGGCCAAAAAAAGCCATTACACACATTTTATTGTTTCATACAACAATTAATACCTCTCACACAGAAGGGTATCGTTTTTATGCAGTTCACAACTAAGAAAAAAATTCTATTGGAGATTGCTAAATTTTATCTGATTTTTCAGCCAATTTTATCCTGACTGTAATTCTTTCTCAACAACATATACAGTATGACACAAGCAAATGCACCCCAGGGCAATGGGCCATTAGCCATTTACTCGTCTCCATATTGTTTCATGTGTATTGGCTTTTATCAAACTTAGGCTATTTTCTATTTTAGGTGATTATGGCTGTAGGTCTTTTAAGGCTTATAACAGAAGGAAGATTTACATAACAGAATATGGAAAGAAAAATTAAAATTATCCAGTATGAAGGATGGGACCCCCTCTACCTAAAGTATTGCTGCCCTCTTCCCTAATTTACCTTTCCATGGTCATACAGTTTTAAGCATACTGTAAATAGAAAATGAAATTCCTCTACCCAGTAACGCTCTGCACTAAAAGAAAATAAATAACCTTGCATCTCAGCCACTGGAAAATGCTGCTACTTACAGTCCACTTTGTTGAGTACCAGGACAGGGTCTATGGTTCTTGGTGCTTCTTACTGTCATTTGAATTTGGGGCTCACATGAGCAAAGAATGTCCGGGGTCATAAAGAATAAAGGCAGTTGTGGTCTCTACTTTGGCACAGATGCCAAGCATGCTGTCACTGTTCCTTATGGGCTCTCAGTAACTAAACTGTAAGCACCCTTAAAAACAGGAGGTAGAAGAGCCAGTTAAAAACACTGCGCCAGCCGCAGGGTGCAAATATCTTCAATGCTTGTTAACTGCAGTACTGTTTTGGTGTGAAGACCAACAGCGGGGTTTTATTCACTTGACTTTAAGGCAAAGGGCCATTTTATTTTACATTCATGCATTTGTGCACAGCACTAGGTAGGTGTATATCACAAAGTAGGGAATATCTTTTTGTATCTGGAGATAATTAGAGCTGGGGCTGCATTCAGAGGGCTTTGAGCAGATTTTAGGGATCTTGAGAGCAATGTCATACAATAAGCAAAGTTCCATTTTAAAACTATTGCAGCTGCTTGAAAGCATCAGGGCAGCTATTGAAAGGAAAAAGCAACTGGAAAGCCATTAATAAGAACTGTTCTTTACCAGAGTATATTTGCAGAAGCAGCCATAAATTGTGCGTCTTTAAACAAAGGTAGACAGGCTGCAGCTGCCAACTACATCCTCTCATCCCTTCAGCCAGCCTATGTGCGCTATATTGCAACCGGATTAGCAGCCTTGGAATAAAGAGGCCCTAGCACAGTTCTCTGTGGCTTATTATAAGTCAGTGAAGTATATTTTCCCTACCATCTCCCAGCCATGTGCTTCTCATTCGCCTCTATCTGCCCTTATCTTTTGCAGCATTTATATGATATTCTGGCAGCGGCACAGTAAAAATGCAGACATGTGCCAATAAAAATTCTGGCCAAAAGTCTTTGTTGTACAGTGAATGTGCCATGAACGCAGACTTGGAAGGATTAAACATGACGGGTCTCCCTAGGAAATTGTTGATAAAATCAGTAATGGGCCTGTGTAGAATGCAAACACATCATTGACTGGGCTATAAATATGGAAAATGTCTTCTTGTTGAAGAATAGGAATATCTAGATTAATTATAACCACTTTATAGATATGTATTAAGTGTTTTAACCGGATATTTATTTCAATAGCTGATTTATAACTCTTCCGCCCTGTGAATAGCTGAGCAAAATGCTGTTCGCACCAAACTACCACCACTCTTTGAGGATCATTCTAGTAGGCCCTGGTAATAATAGGTCAACTGACATTCGCCAACTTGTTGACCTCATGCTAATAACAGATGTTGTCTCCTACGTGTGTCATAACAACTAAGGGGTTCTCTGTATGATACAGTTATGGTTACTATAGGAGCTGGAAAACAGCCTATATTATCGGCATGAGCTCAGACACTTGATGTGGCAGCTGAGGCATCTTCAGACATACTATATAAAGCTAAATTATGGGGTAAATGTAACATTTTCACAGGTAAGCTAGCAGAATTATTATGATTCAAAACCTAAAATATTCAGATTCTTGTATGAGCCCAATTGTGAATAGTTTAAATCAGTACATACTAGGACTGCTTGTATTGCTGCAAAAGCCGGGGTTTCATATACAACGTTCCACCCAAACTAAAAATGGTATGTCCAAGCATGTCACAACCCTTATCAGTGTACAGATATACATTCTATCTCTGACAAAGACAATCTCTTATTTTTCTCCCTTAAAGTTACAAAAACTGTACATTACAAACGGTATAGAAACAAACCAAATGAAGGAAAATAAAAGAATAATTTGCAGCACATTCTGGCTAATTTGCTCTATGTGATTTAGATTTACAGATAAAAAATAGCAAAGTTTAAGACTTCTAGTGCCTATCCGGTACACTTATTAGAAGATCCAGGGGAGTCGCTAGTTTTCATCAGCACAGAGGACTAGAGCCAGCTCCGTTCTGTACAGTTTTCCACCGTCTGACAAGGCCATGATGCTCTTCTTGTATGTCGGGATGCTGTTTACGTCTAGGTCCTATTTAAAGAACAGACAATGCTTTATAATCCAGTTTGGCTCATCAAGTCATCATCATAGCTTGCATACATGCCAATGTTTGTGACATGTTCTTAAAATGAACCAGTGCTTTGTTTATGCAGGGCAAAGCAACTGGTTAACTTTAAAACCAGCACCCGCAACACTTTATGCTTACCTTACCTGAGCCCTGACTTTTCTCTGGCTATCTAGGTCAACGCTGGTGGGTCAGAGCAACAGCCACATAACTACCATTTTAACTTTAGGAATTTCCCCATACAAGCTTCTACAGACCCGACATAAAATATAGAGAAATTATGAAGCAAGATCAGATACACTGAGGTGCAAAGTTCGGTGTAATTTACACACTACATAAGTACACCCAACAGTGGAACTTTCTGGAGTTCATTGTTAATCCCATTTTGTGGTGGTAGGTTCCCCTTTATATTTTGAGGATTGGGTTGTCGTATGATAACCCTGATCAGAGAAGAACATGCATCAGTTGCTGGTAATGACCTACTGCATTCATTTAAAAAAGGATTGAATGATTAAATTGCAGATAGTGATCCAATGGGCCTTGAAAATGCATGGCTAATGATCTGTAAACCAATCATTCACCACATAAAAAAGCCATTCCACACCTTAATGGTAATGGTCTGGGTTCAGCATCACAACGATTCATGCGTATGCATTTAGAAGACCTCTAGCATCCCTGTAGCACCAAACCCCAGGGTTGTTCATTATAGTGATGAGACAATAATAATGTGCAAGATTGTGTAAGTTTCTAACTGTATTAAGATTGGAGTATTGGAATCCTGAAGTTATATTAAAGCTCCTCAGGATTCAGGGCCCAGGGCATGAACAGTATATTATATAGACACAACTAGGCGCATTGTAGTTTTGCAGTCTATTGAATTCCATTATGGTACAGACAGGTTTACTTTATACAATATAAATAGGGGTAAATGAGGAATGTAACGTAATATTGTGACCCAGGGAATTGGTCTGGCTGCTTTGTTAGGACAAGAAAAAAAATTACCAAAGCTGTCCAGGTTTCCTTCTTCTTCCAGCCTTGTACATTATGTATGTATGTATGTATGTATGTATGTATGGGCAAAATTTAGATTGTGGTCTCCTGTTCTCCTAACTGCAATCTATAAAGTGTTTCTCCGCATGGTGCCACATACTGAGAAAATATTAATCTAAATTCCATTGTAGAACTAGCAGCACAAGCTACTGCACTGTCACAAACAGCCATTTATGCCACGCAGGAGAAAAGAAAGAACTATTGCCCATGTCGATGTTCTACTGTGAATGCACACTGCTCAGCCCATTGATTTCTATGGCTGCTCCTGTATTAATGGCAGGCCTAGCCAAAGGAATGAATGGATGGAATTGCATGAATGTGCTGTAAGAGCTGGACTTGCCAGGGAGTTCTTTCTGCAAAGGCTGTGAGGTGCCAGGCGTGACCTCACAGTAAAGAACTTGGAAGTGGGACTGATGGTAAGTATTTTGGTAGGTGGCTGCTACTCCGCATGCAGGGGGATTTTACATTTTATTTTAGCATCAAAAACCCCACAAAGGTGACTAAAACTGATTTAACACATCTACATTGTTCAGGGTTACTGTACCTTGCACATAACCATTGCTCTTTGCACTGCCCTGTTCAATAAACTCATCCCTTTGTTTCCATATGATTTCTAAGTAGCACCTGTATCCACTGGCTCAGGCAACTTAATGTATTCATACCAATTACAGGTTTCTCTTTATTCCTCTTCATAAATTAGTCAGGTTTTTAAAACCTAATTTATAACCAAATTATAATTTCCAAAAATAAAAGTCAGAGCTTTACCTTTTTATTCTTTTCACAGAGGTCTTTGAGCAAGTCGTCCAATTCATTTTCATCTATATAGCCGCTGCCGTCCTGTAAGATAAATGGAAAGCCGTCGAGTGAAAGACGTGCATTTAATGTGCTGCGTCGCTGCCTTCCAGTCTAAGCTTCATGCAAATGAGCTCAGCGAAGAATTGTTACTTTAAATTTAATGGACTTCAAAGTTTAATGAAGTCCCTTGTTTTATGAAGTTAGAGTCAGAGCTGCCATGGCAAACTCCATGCTCCACACAGCAATGGACAAAGAAGGACTCAAGGGACAGTGCGGGAAAATGCACAATGTGATGTCTGTTTTTAGCTTTAGTCTACATGCATTCACTATATTCATGGCTACATGGCAATTCTCAGGTTGAGTTTTTCTACTGCTGACAACAGTGTACCATGCCTACATAATGTGTGTTAGAGGAAAAAGCTTTGTGACAGGGGGACAACATAGGAGCATAGTTGAGAGACAAGAACAGAACTTTGTCACCCAATAACAAAAGGTGACTGAGCAAGGACCTTCATGACAGTATTACCAGGTATTATTTTAATGAAAGCTGCAGATTAAAAAAAAAATATTGAAAATGACTTTTGAGATTATATTAATATGTTATAGTTTATATGAGATTTTGGTTTACATGCCGTTGCTGGCATAGCTCCATGACATCATCATGTGCAGTTAATTTTTCACACTTAAACATTTCTTAACATCGGGAACACTACACCAAGTATAGGAAGAAGGGCTTCATTCTGAAAAGTGTCTTGAAGAACAACTTTGCTGAATACTTTTTAAATATAAACTTTTAACTTGATCCCAAAGCAATTTCAAAGCAACAACCCTTTATGTGAAAAAGTTGGTTATTACTTAGAGGTTCACCCTTATTCTAAAGTCAGGAGCATTTGGAGAATTTTGGCCCATTTGTACTATGTCTGCTCCTCAGCATGCCATAATTGTGCAGGTCCCAATAAGCAGAAACGCTTTACTAGTTTGGTGCAATTGATAGCCTGTTCACTCTGGCCAAGATGTGATTTGAGCCAGCATGACATAATAGTTGTGGTGGGCACAGACACAAATGTTCTGAGCCTACACTACGCATTAACAGCTCTTGCATTAAATGGAAAGGAGGTAGCAGTGTTAATTTGTTATATTTAGTGATTTCAGCAGTTTTCTAAATTCAGAACAATATCTGCTTTATAAACAAAAAACATATATTGCTCTAAAGATTTAAGGTTTTCAATACCAATTGAAGTTTGGTATTTGATACTTTAAATGAGGTTGGTGGTTATAGGGCAACATAGACAGTTTGCACAGAGTCTTTTCTGAATGAGCACACTTTGGTAAAACTTTTGTAAAGCACAGCAAACTGTCAAAGCACAGGAACCTGACTTCAGCTAGATGAAAACACCCTGTACTATGATTAAGAATGACTATGATTTCCCTAGGATCCGGATGCCTGCATCCACCAGCTCCAATCATGTCAGTGGCAACACCACCTGCTGGCACTCGTGCCACCAGTGGCTGACATAAGGAACAAAGGGCCCTGGTGCAAGATTTCTTCTCGGGACACCCCCCCCCCCCCCCAGTGGTCTCTGCACCAAAGGGGCTTACACTCTAATGTCCCCCCCACAGTCACACACTATTATTATACATTTATATATCTCTGACATATATCACAGTGATGTACTGAGAACACAGACAGTCACATTATTCTCTGCACATAGGAGCTTACACTCTAATGCAGAATGGCACCAGCTGCAGCGGGACTACAAATCCCAGCAATACATTATACAGCAATGCAGAATAGTATATGAATTGGAATCTGCAATGCACTGGACCCTGCACTTAGCAACACCCTGGACCCTGCACGTAGCAACGCACTGGATCCTTTACTTAGCAATGCACTGACTCTGCACTTAGCAAAACACTGGACCCTTCACTGGACAGTGAAGGGACCCCGCACTGGATAGAGAAATAGGTTATAATAGGGAACAATACAACATTACAGTACAGTGCAGAATAGTATATTGGACTCTGCAATGCACTGGACCCTGCACTTAGCAACGCCCTTGACCCTGCACATTGCAACGCCCTGGACCCTGCACGTAGCAACGCACTGGACCCTGCACTTAGCAATGCACTGGATCCTTCACTTAGCAACGCCCTGGACTCTGCACTTAGCAACGCACTGGACCCTTCACGTAGCAACGCGTTGGACCCTGAACTTAGCAACGCACTGGACCCTGCACTTAGCAACGCACTGGACCCTGCACTTAGCAACGCACTGGACCCTGCACTTAGCAACACACTGGACCCTGCACTTAGCAACGCACTGGACCCTGCACTTAGCAACGCACTGTACTGCAATATTTAATTTTAACACTGGGATAGAGAAATAGGTTATAATAGGGAACATTACAGTGTAATGTTCCCTATTATAATCCATTTCTCTAAAAAAAGACACAACACACTGTGGGCAGTTTCTGTGCCCACTACCCCCTTTTCACCTACTCAGTGACTTACCTTATATACTGTAGTGCTGTCAGAGCCCGATACCATCCCGGCCACATGGTCTGCAGGGGGCAGGGCATGTGACACACAGTGCCCGCATCAGGAGAGAGGAGATCTGGCATCAGACTGACAGCACCGGAGCCTCCGTGCTGCTGCTATGCTACGGCAGCGCCGGCTCAGACTGCAACGTGCTGCCCCTCAGCCCTGTCTGCCCCTGTCAGTGGCCCCCCCCTAGCCTTGTGCCCTGGGGTGGCCACACCGGTTGGACCGCCGGTAGGTCCGCCCCTGCGTGCCACTCTTCTGTCTCTGCAGCCTCTGTCCCACTATCAGGGTTGCTCGGACTAGAACAGCAAGAGAGGCTACCCTCGTCATCTCAGACTCCCATCAAGGTACGCAACAATAATTCTCAGTGTTATTTAAACAAAAAGTACTATTCTGGAACTTTTTTGCTCCTCAGAGGGAAAGTCTCTCTTTAATTCTCATATCCCTCTAAACCTTTTCCCCATCCCTTTTGGATCTTATATATAGGCCTGTAAAAACAAATGTACTTAAAGTATAACGCCAGTTATTCAATAGGTTAACCCTTACAGTGGGGCTACCTTGCACTGCAAGGGTTAACTGCTCATTTTTTTATCTAGGGGCTGGAATACAGACAATATACTCACCTGATCTTTGATCCTGCGGCGGCTGGGACTCACTTCTCTTTCCCTGGCTGTGATATGTCCTCGGCATCTTCATGTCTAATGGACCTGCATTAGATGTGATGATGTCATTAGTCCTTAGACCACTGGAGCCTAGGGGAGAAGAGGCTCTGGGGACCAGTCTAGCAACCAAATGGGATCAAGGATCAGGTGAGTATATTTCTTTATTTGAGCCCCTGGGCAAAAATTAGCAGTTAACCTTCAGTGAGGGGATAGCCCTGCAAAAGTTAATTTTTTAGATTCCTGGAGTTCCTCTTTAAATAAAAGTGTTATAATGCAATAAACTCTAAAAGCTCTAAGTGCCCATTCATACATGGGCATTACAGTAACACATGGTAAAATGTGGATATCACTGGAATGTAACGCAATACACTGAGTTGATGAGCTGCAGTGCACTCCAAGTCGCCTCCGCAATGCACATGTGTACACCACATTGCAAACAAAAAATGTGCGTTGCGGGTGTATGTCCTTGCAGTGCAAATGGGCCCTAAATAATTTGATTGGTTATTTCTAAATCATATTATAAAGTAAAAATTAAAAAAAATATCATACCTTATCATATAATTCAAATGCCTTATTGAACTCTTTGTTACACATCTTGACTTCCTAAGAATGAAATGAATACATTTAAATATAATCTGCTGCTATAGCACCATATTACTGTGTGGGGGTAAAACAGGATTCATACCTGGAATTTAAGAAGGAAGTTTTCTTGTACAGGCAGTAACCTAAGAGGAAAATGCAACAAATTACCAAGTCTTCAGGTTAAAATTTAGTTTATATAAATGGTTCATAAATAAGTCATACAACCAACACGTCTAAAAAGTGTATATTTTCTGATTAAATGTCCATGAGAAAGGCAGCCTTCTCATCTGATTTTACCACATTTTGTAAAGCTTCAAAAATGGTAGAGGATTTCTGATTGGTTGTCGTACATTCCTGCACACACAAATGATGGGCAGAGTGTCTACCACCCCCACCCTCTTCCTTGTAGCACAGCCTGCTGCTAAATGAAAGGCCATTTTAAAGATGTATACAATGGGGATCTGATTTAAAAGGGTTGGGCTTTAACTAGCCCGTGATTAGGACTGATTAATGGTTGAAAACAGGAAAATTCCAGAGATTATAAATTACAGGAAAAGGAAAATACATTATCATTTAGAAGAGAGGATATAAGTGTTTTTTTATGTAATTACATAAATAGTAATTACATAAAAATAGGCTTCACATTGTCATGCTATGTGTGCTTTACAATAGTTTCTTTTTCTTAGGAATATTACAAAATATGATCTTTTATTATATATGTAATAACTCAATACTCTTTACCCACTTTGCCAATTCTAACAGTTAAAAAAAGCCCCTTTTAAAGCTATATTTTTGTAATCACCCTGCCATAAAAGATTAATACCTACTTCCGAGTGGTGTATTTACACATTATTTACCAGTTGTGTGCACATGTTTTTCTTTGTACAGGATAAGACATCATTTACAGGTATCTTTACTTCACATCCCTTTTTACTGTTAAAGGGAATGTGTTTGGAGATAAATATGGGAGCTGATTTTGGTGACTTATTTATAAAGGTGCGGGTTTAGAGCAGGGGTCCCCTAAATGACGAACCTAGCAGCAGTTCTATCTGGACCACGATTGCCGGCTAGTCGACAGCAGCTGTGTGTTGTAGTGCAGTTGATGGTGGAATGTGATGCAGAAACGGACTAAGTGACTGTTCTGTCCAGACTACGTTTCGGACTTCGGCTCAATGAAAATGTTACTCACTAGACCTTGAATTTGAATTTACTACCCCTGGTTTATAGGATTGTCACTTTTAGCCTTGCTTTCACTTATTCACTGTACTTTGGGCACCCAAGCACCTGCCATTTATGTGCTTGTTCTGATTCACCAAATATAGTGAAATAGTGAAAAGGGAGTGAAGGGCAAAACCTTGAAGGATGCAACTTCAAAAATAATGCAACAATGGCAGCTTGCGTATTTCTGTCTTTTTAATATAGCTACTGTTTGAGCTTAAATTATTGTCTGGCTGTGATTTTCCAGGCCCATATTCTGCAAAGTGTATGGGCATGCACCTTAATGAAAGTCTATGACCAGCTTAAAGTGGCTCTGTCACTAAAATAAATAAAGGCTTTCTATTGAGACATCCAGAGTTGCGTGTTACTTTGAAATTGTAGAGAGAAGCTTGCAATTCATCCAGAGGCCTGATTTACAGAAATATCTAAGAGGTTAGAAATATATATTTTTAAAATTTATTTTTAGGTATGCTGTGTAAATATGAACACGTAAACAAAAATAAAATTAGGATTTTCGAAATTTTGGCTGCATAAGAGAAACCTTAGGTTTCAGCAGGTGATGGTAGGTGTTATAGTGGACTAGACCATGATAACATGTCCCAACTATTCAAGGGGCACATGAAATGTGTTTAAGTGGAACTAAACCATTTTGGCCCTCCTGCCCACCCACAGCCTAAATCCAAATATGCTAGAAGAGCCCTAAATAAACTGACCTGTCCTGGAAAAAAACTACTGCTTTGGGGTCCCCCTGTAGCTTTGATCTCTGCTGAAGGCCAGAATCAGAGTTCAGATCATCTGATCATTACATTCAGCAAAGAACCAATGCCAAAGCACTGAGTCACACAAGTCTGGACACAGTGGAGGGGATTTATCAAAGCAATTGCAACAGTTTTAGCCTCTTAGATCATTTTTGTATGTGCAAATCTGTCCTATAACATGTGCCCCTGTTTTGACCTGAGCTTGCACTACTTTTTCAACTGCACGTTTTTTGCACTTGTTTTCATCTGCACTAGTTCTGGGGCTGTCTATAACTGGGGCATCAACTAAGAAAACAATCAACACTTAAGAAGTCCCCATGACCATTTCTTCAAGAAACGACAGTTAAGCTTTTTGTCTGGAGTTGCGAGTCTTTTGTCCTAGAGTTTATGAATCCTCATTTATGAACAACAAACACTTGCAATTGCTTTGATCAATGCCCCCCAGTGTGATTTGGAGGCAGCAGTTTTTCCAAAGTGTTGACTTTACTATTGAAAATGATGCTTCTTAAACTGTTGACATGTAAAACAGTGCATGGCATTGCATGCCAGATACTAAAAGCAATAGGAAGAGTTTTGCAACACAGAACCATAACTTTTTAACAAAACATGCTTTAAAGATGCTTTTTATTAATTTTTCCCATGTAAACAACAATAAAACATTGCAATACGAAAACAAACTTGTTGACTGTCAGTATTGCTCAAAGGGTGCAACAACATTGAATTGTTTCACATACAGGTTTGCGATAACAAGGTAAGTAAGAAAGTAATACAGTTTAATACATGGCATGGAAAATACAACCTTGCCAAAGATTCTAAAGAACCAGTAACTTAGGGTCCACCTGGATTTGTTCATGTAGATTCTATTCAGGGACTCCAAGTCTATATAGGGCAGGAGTTGACCAATCTGTATTTTCCAGGTTCCTCGGGTGGGGAGAGGGATTCATTTATGTTAGGAGGATAGCCTTTTTGCTTAAAATGGGAGTATCCTCAGGTTTAGTATATTTTGGTTCCTGCAACTCATGAAGACAGAACCCTAATCTTAGACATAAAAAAGTATGGACATTGGGCAGTACAGATTTGCAATGAATCTTTTAATCGATGAATCCTTAAATTAACAAACCTCTACACAGGATACCTGTGTTCTGTATTTCCTCCATTGTCCACTCAGCATTCATTACATACTACTTTACTGATGCACTGCACTGTGCTTACCGAGGGCCAGCCATTGTACAAATTAAGAATACCGGGATGTGTATAAAGAGTGCAGTCTAGTATTTACTCTTGGGTGCAGTGTTCATGGTTGTAAGTGGCTTAATGGTCCCACAAACCTATAACCTTACATTTGGAGTCTTACCGTGCCATTTCTGTGAGTCCTAGTTTTCCATCATTATTTGAATCAAAGATCCTCAGCTGGAAATGAAAAAGGAAAATGAGACTGTAAATCTTGTACACACAGCACATATTATACTTTGATCACCAACATGTCCCTTGTCATTTTGTCTTTTCAAAGGTGCAGTCTGTTTTTATTTTATATAGACGCCGGCTGAACATGTACAGTGTATTTTTTTTAGCAAAACTTTCCTGTTTTCTTAACAAAGACCCAAAAATAAAAACCTTATAGAATGTGATGAATCACTAAGGCTGAATTTACATCCTTGAATGTTAATGTGAATTATGTTGCGTGTTAATATACACTGCAACACACCAAATCTGACCTTTAAATGGACCTGCACCTTTTTGTTTTTTTCTAGTAGAGTACAATTCTCAGATGGTTCACAGATGGTGTGCTAAAACACAGGTCCATTGTGGTACCCTGGGGATGTGTGTTGGGAGTTCTATTCAAAATGAATATGGATTGCACAATACTGTGTTTTCCAATAATGTGCCTTAAAATGGGCATAGTATTGAACGTTACCACAACTCAAAGATGATATCCCAGCCTTACAGTGTATGTATAGCCAAAACCCTTTTTAATTTTGTAAAGAGTGGGGATGGATTGGGAACCCCTGTCAGGTCTTACTGCTGTACAGTGCTCCATTATAGAGAATTTTCCTCTTACTCATGCCACCAGATAGGAAGTGAGGGGTGCTATCAAACAGCAACACATACAGAACTAAAAAAGCTAGAACCTCTGTCAGTTTTTTTGTTAGTCGTTTGCTTGTTGCAGATTTTCCCTCACTTCCTGTTTGGTTAAATACACCAAAAACAGAAATTTATCTAACAGAGCTCCAGATAGCAGCAAAATCTGACAGGGGTTCTGATCTATCCCCATTGTATCCAAAAATATATTTGGCTATAGATACACTTTAGGGTGGATTTAAAATTAGAAACTGTCAGAAAAAATCTGACCCAGTCAGAGGTAGACAGTTAAGGCTCTGCCTTTCACATTCCCAATCTCTTAGCAGTGGTGTTATACAGAAAGTAGAGGGGAACCAAGAGGTCTATCCAAGCTATGGGATATCAGCTCCTTCATGTAATGCATAGAATACATTGGCAATAATTCTCAGGGTAAAGAAACATCTGCTGTAATTGATAAGGACAACCTGATCCATGAGGGGTTTAATGATCATAAAAATATTTCTATGACATAGTACATCTCTTCAGCCATCACACCTATCATCCATCCCTACACTTAAAGTGTGACCCAAACTAAAATGCACATTTATCTACATGGATGGCAGATCTCACAGAAGGGAAACTCTGTTTATGAAATTCCTTATTGGATATTTAGCTTGGTCATTGAAGAAGATTATAAAAATGAATGGTCGGTAACACAGATACTCTGCTTGGCTCTTACAGTGATTAAGGTTTTAGTGTATTATGAATTATTTTCAGTACATGTCTATTCTATTCATATGTGCCTCCAGATTGTTGTCTTCTGCCATTGCAATGCAATAGGGATGGGCTGTACAAGCAGTGGGCATGACTATGGTTAAAGCGGAACCATCCTCAGCTCCCGTCCCTTGAAGCAACGCCTGTGACATCTTTGTCTGGTCTTCATCAGGGTTTGGGATCTTTGGCCATTTAGAAGTGGCCATCCTGGGATACAATAACTCCTGCACATGCACTGGGGCTCATAGCAGATGCCAAAATTGTGCACTGTGTATATTGCAAAGAATATAGTGAACAGGCAGGTAAGAGACATTTATCTTCTGCAATAAAAGCCTGCTTTTGCACACTTTGAATTTTTATTTCAAGTTCTACTTTAATGGGCACCAAAAGGAGGTAGCTTGATTTCAATGTAACATTGTATCATGTCAATGACATTTTAATTGTAACCAAGTCTTTATGTATGTATTAAATATACGTTTATACAAAACCATGTATGTTTGATGGACGTCTTGTATGGTTTGGACACTTTTAAAGCCCCGCTTTTCTTTTCTACTTTAAAATGCCATCCGATATCACACCAAGGTTGTCTTAACATGACTTTTTCAAAATACATCAAAAGAAAACTATAATGGATTGGCGTTAGTTGTAAAGCATATGTAAAATCAATCACTGCACTGCATCATATACTGTAAGGTTTAACATGTTAAGGTAACATCAAAAAACATATCAATCATTTATATCTGCAGCTTTTGTTAAAGCAAACCTCCAGAAAGAAAAAACAACAGAAAAACGAATAGCACATTATAAGGTAAAAATAACAAAGCTAGCTTTTTGCTGCAATATTTAGCTTCAATCTGGGAACAGAAGAACTATTTACTTTCAGACATTCTGTCTTTGATTGAAATTTTGGTTGAATTGAGCTTTGCAGAGGTAATGGAAATAAAGGGGAGGAGTCGCTGCTCTCACTTAGTCATGCATGTATGTGTATGTAGTTTTCAGTGTGCAAAATATTAATGTGAAATGTATTTTTTCCATATTGTTAATACTGATCATGATAAATAAATACAGGAAATCTGCCCCAAACCACTATATGTTACCTTTAAAGTCACCATTAGTGAAACAGTTTAATGCATACATTGCCTACATTCTTCCTCTGCAGCACATTATTTTCACCAACGTGCTCTTTAAAAGTCTATTTATTCTTTAAAGTGTATTTAAACCCAAGAACAAACATTTAATATATTGCAGCTTACCAGCACTTAGATGTGGTGGTAGCATTCATTTTAAATTTTTGAGCCTTTTCATTTTACCTGGTGATCCTGCCTACACACTTCCTGTCCTATGGTGACAATGCTTCTATGTATCTATGGAAGAGGAGCATTACTCTAGGACGGGAAGTGTTTTAAGCGGGCCATACACTGTTCTAATTTTTTCATTCAACCCACAGGCTGAATGAGAAAAATATAGCAGATTCCTCCTTCAACGCTTAGGAGCGTCAACAGATGAATCACCCTCTGTTTCCTGACAGTGTTTGATTGGCTGCAAGCACCGTGCATTCAAAGACTTTCTAACTGGCTCCTTTGATCTTCTGATCGAGGGATGCCGGCCGGAAGGGTGCTGCCAGCAGCACCCACTGTGTGAATTTCGGCCGGTTTATGAAGAACTGGAAGGAGAGAGTTGTTCTGTTGCCCTAACACATTTCCTGATAACAGAATGCATAGATTAGACATGATAAATATTCTTTCACTTATCAAACAGATATAACAAACAATTTCAGTGACATATTTAACAGACTAAAAGGGGGTAGTTAAAAGAAGTTCATTTTTTTAGGGTTTACATACACTTTAATAATTCTTCCATATTACTTCTTTATTAAGAAAACATTTTCTTTAGGTATTTTAGCCCAATTCTTTTTGCAATCTACACAAAACCAGTCCAAGTTATTTTCTAGTAAACTTGTGTGTGAGTCTAAACTAGAAACTGTCATATGAGCACATTTCACACATCATCACCATTTCAATGTGAATAGAGAGGCATTGTTGGGAAAGCAGTGGCACACTCGGCTAGATTCTAGCACGCAGTGCCTTTGAACGACGGAGCCTTTGAACGCACATCACCGCCACAGGAGAGGAAGAATCGCTTCTGAATGGCACTTAAAATATAAACTTCAGAATATCAATAAATGAGGGAGATGGGAGCCACCTTGGTGTAATAGCCCATTGTACTTGGCATCCAAAAGCTGCTCATGTTTATTCAAGAAGCGTGTCTGGCTGCTAAGTAGCAGATAACATACCTCAATAATACAACAGCTGGAATGGGAGTCAGCGCATTACACAACAGAGCATCACAGATCATCATACTCAGCCAGATTTTATATGGTACACCTTTTATGTCGGAGAAACATTCTATCTCCTGGAAATAAGGGTGCATGTTCCCAATAGAAGAGACTCACATGGATGTAAAAATGGTAGACGCAAAGAGGTACAATTTTCCCTATAGGCAATTTTTCCCCTCCGCACCCTCCCCTTTCCTATTTATTTATGTTTCTTATTTTAAATTACCTTAAACCCAATGTCAGCACTGGGTCTAAAGTTCTTATCTCAGCCATGAAGCTGGGAGGAAAGGTCCAAATAAATGTCACTTTTTTAAGACACTTTTCTCAGATGTCACCTTCTTCCACACCAGGCAGTGTTTAGATCTGTTTATTGCCCAATGCCTGTGCTTTAGTCTATCCCAGTCATATAAAATTTGTAGTTGCACCTGTACACTGCGGCACAGGCGCCAGGTTGAAAAATGGATGTAAACCTTGCAAAATTAGGCGGAGAACTGGGTGGTGGAAACGGGTCTATGCTGCATTTGAGGTCAGTGTGATGGCCTAGTAGGTAAGTGAGGGTTCCCCTTTTCACCATCACCAGATTTCCTTGAACAAGCACAAGTTGTTTATTTTTATTTTTTTAAATGAACTTGTCCTATAAACTATTTAAGCAACAGGGCTAGGCAACTAGCAATCTCAAGGGAAGAGCTCAGAAATGGTATCTACAATAATATTATGAATTTCTGGGTCACTGACTTGGAGCAGATCAAGAGTTCTGACTTCACTTGTGCATACATTTCTCAGTTTGTGCAAATAGAGGTGCAGCTTTCACACCAATAACCAAGCAGTGGATTCCATGTGACCAGTGACCATTCCAATATGTTTAGGAGTTTACCTCCACTACAGCAGCCACGTCATCTACAGTATGTGGACCTGACAAAAAGTGGGGAGTTAACTTACAAACAAATCTGTATCTCCAAAGATATAGAGAGTCAGCAGCAGTCATCTCTCTGCTGTCAAATACTGACGCATAACAAGCCATTGTCTGTGATCTCCAGGAACTCTCAAAGTTTATCCCTGAAAATTACCTAATTTATACACTGATGTAAAAAGTCAATAATTTACTGATCAACAAAGCAAAACAATCATTCAGTTATTCCTGTCACCCATCTTTCTGTCATCATACGGTCCAGTATGCAAAATAGAAAAATGCATTTTAGAATCATTTATTTTAGTACCTGACACAATCTGACGTGCTATGTAGGCATGGCATTGCTAAGCTCCAAGACAGCATCATGAATAATTAGAGTAGTTATACCACTTCAGGATCAAAGTATCACTGGAAGCTATTTTAAAATGCTAACAGCTGTGCAGTGGGAAGAGGTTTCCATAAAGTCAACTAGACAAAAGAACAAACAGCAATACACAATGTCAATCATAAACTGGGAAGTGGAAGGGTTCTATGAACACATAAAAGTAGATAGATGTAGTAGAAAGATCTGCACTGCCTAATAGAGTACACAAAGGGAACTCCATAAGCATTGGGAACTTCACAGACAGTATACACAGATACAAGGTACACAACATTCATTAAAACCCAACTCCAGTATATATATATACTGTATATATATATTAGTTTTGAACAGAGTGGGTAAAGTTATAAAGGTTTACTTTGTGTTTGAGCAAAACCTCTCCAATGGGTGCCCAAGAAATAATAGAACTCTTTAACTCTCTCTGAAAGTAAAGTGGGGAAAGGTAAGAATGTCTGTAACAGTTTTATTCTTGTCTGTCCCCCATTTTTTAACAGGGTGCTAGGATCAGAGTTCTCTTTGCTTCCAATATATGTCCCTGCCAGCCCTTATGTCTTCTACTTTAGGCTCTGGGTGCCAAATAATTTTTATTTTCCCCTCTTTGTATTAAAAAACAAAAAGTTTTAGGCAGACCCTCCTTATCTATGCAGATCCCTTTGGTATGCAGAACCACCCCTACTTTCCATTCCCCATTTTTACTATATTTATAATCACAATTTTTATCTACATTCATGTCTATGTGTCACTTACTGAACATTTAAATCACAATATAAACCCTCATTTTTTACGCCTATTACAAATGCTCTATAATTTGATGGAGATTTTGTTTTTTTTTTAGTGATATGTACGTTGGGTACAAGTAGAGCTTCTTATAAGTGTGAGATCTGCTAATTGATACAGCCAGACTCTGCCAATTAAGGATCTTTGCAAGCCTTTCTAAAACTGTGAGGTCAGCACTGTTGTTAGGCTTATGAATGGAGTTGTTTCTCCGGAAACACGTTCTGAACAGTGAGGACAGAGGAGTGCATGTTTGGAACCATGCCGGAGAGGAAGGGGAAACCTAGATGGACTTCCCTGTGTCTGATGCTGCTTTATCTGAAGTCTGGTAAGTGTTAAATTTTTTTTTAAAAGGAGGGGGGGTTGATGAGGGAGGGGGAGGTTTTGCTGGGGGAGAGGGAAGTCTTGCTGGGAGTTGGGGATTTTTGCTGATGGGAAATTTGTTGGAGTGGGGTATTGGAAGGGGGAATTTTTAGCTCTATACTGTAGTGTTACAACTGTCTGTTTGTTGTTCCCATATTATCAGAATTGCTGTATACTGTCATGATTGCCGGTTTCTGGTTTGCACATTGTCACAATTGCCAGTTTGTTGCCCCCATATAATTACCATTTTCCAATGGTTGTCTGCATATTATATCACCTGTTCATATGTTACCTGCATATTGTTACAATTGGTTGTTTTCTCTCCCTGTATTGTAATGCTTGCCTATTTGCTGCCTGTATATTGTAACAGTTGACTGATTGTTGCTTGGGCATATGTATACAATTGCCAATTTGGGGCCCAATAATTGTCAGGATAGCCATTTTTTGAATACATATTTAAAGTCCCCCATAGGCGTGTCACTATCAATGCAGAGTGCAATTATCCTTGTGTTTCACTATGGTGCACTTCATGTGCCATTCAAGTCCTTAAAATATTATTTAGCACACCTTTACAACCCCAATGATTAGCAGTGGCATGCCTGTGAAATGTGTGGTGAAAAGGGTGCTTGTAGTCTCTGTCAGCCACTTGTACCCTCCATCAGAAGCCCATGTGACATGTTGACAACTCAGGAGCACTACTGGGACACAGGAACAGAGCTTTATCACTCTATAACAGGAAATGCCTGAACAAAGACCATCATGGCAGGATTAACCATTATTATTATAATGTAAGCTGCAGATTTTTTAATATAGATAATTACTTTTCAAATTATATTAACATGTTAAAACCTATATACAATTTTAGTGTTTTGATTCCATATACTTTTGTTTTCTTACCAAATTATAATTGATTGTTAAATAGTTCAATCCAACCATAAGGATTTTTACTTCTATATGTTCAAATTCTATTATCTGTTTTCTATTTCTTCAACTTTCAGTTCAGTATTACTCTTCCTTTAACTGCTGTAAAAAAGGGTCTTTGGCAGATCTGTAAAGTGGATGGCCAGTACATTTTAAACGGTACTGCTGCAGTGAATTTGTCGGCCTGGAGCTGGAGTGTTATGTGCATTCTTCTTTTCAAATTACATGCAGTTTTGCTCATTAGGAATTAGGACACTTAATAATACCAGAGAGCGCCTTTCAGAGAGGAGTATCACTGTCTGTAATGACTTTGCCTTCAGAGCATAAAGCTTAAAAATATATCTAATAAGACATCTTTCTCTATACCCATTAACTACTAGAACTTGGCAACCAAGCTTCCTTCTGAATCTATAACTGGCATGCTATTATTAAGCTTTGCTACACATAATACATCATCATTCAGCAGCATGAGGAGGTCAGTATAATAAGAGGTGAAATTAATATGTCAGCCTGAAATGTTAAATATTTTAAACCACCATTACTGCATTCAGCTACTCAGCATGTTCCATGTTAACCAATGAGAATTTGTAAAATCCATTTAACCAATAAGCATTTGACTGCCTTTCACTGGCAGCTCAAACTGCCATACATATTCACCTAAAATCTCTGCTGCCATTTTTAGAATGATCGCCTCCATAATAAGCTAGTCAGATTGTGCCAATTGTGCCAATCAGCACTGACACTGCCACCAAGAAGAGTCCCAGTTATTGGACAGGTTTGCAGATGATGGATAGCAAAACAGTCAGTAGATACACAGTGTGATCACAACGAAAGGAACCTCCCAAATTAAGGCAACACAGCTATTGCAGGAACAAGAGAGAATGTCATGGAGTGGTTACCCTGATTTAAAGGAGCCACCTGTTGGCCTTCTGACCTGGTGAGTTAGCATCACTTGTAAATAGTAGTTGCTCAGGTTGCCTTGCAGCTTAGGGGCTCAAAGAGTGTTAATCCTGAGTTAAAACCAAGTGAAGGGCACTACTTGTTGTGTGGAAACCAACCCACCAAGAGTAGCATATCTAAAAATCAAACATTGTCCTTGAGGTTAGAGGATGGTTAGGCCCAGTGAGCCTATCCAGGAAAAAAAGCAAATTCCAGAAACTAAGACAGTAAAACCCAGACAAGAAACTGATGATGACCTGTACACGGTCCTGGTATGTGCTTGGGCAGATGAAAAGACTGGAAGCAATGAAATAAGATGAGTGTGATATAAAACAAATAGAAAGAAGTATAAGAGGTGTCGGGACCAACTCTGAAGGATATAAAAGAAACAACTGATTACAGAGCATACGTTTATACATGCCTTCGTGGCAGCTTTTTGGCCATTTCTCCACTGGTGGTAGCACTATTTTATATTCATTATTTAATTTGCAATAAATTGTGCAAAATCGTTTCTCTTATTAACAATTGCACATGGCTTCCTTTTAATTTGTACATGAAAAAAGTGCCGTATCAGGACTTAGAGGCTCTTACTGTCATCCATCTTCCAAATGTGGAGTTCTGCTCTTCACTAAGAGCTTGCATTAAATGAAACTGAACCTTACTTCCTATAGCGACCAGAATGTAGGCAGCTCCGTTTGCTTGCCCTAGGATCCCCAAAATCCAGGAGCTATAAAATGCATTTATCAACCTACTTTCTATGATTGCACTCTGGCCTGTCCCTTAACCTCCCTGGCGGTAATCCCGAGTGTGGCTCGGGGTTAATTTTCAGTACCATAAGTGGTAACCCCGAGCCACACTCGGGAATACAGCTTAGCGTTTCTTACCTTGTCTGCGATCCCTCCTCTGTCCTCCGTCCCTTGCTAGCGTCCGCGTCGCAGGGGGGCGGAACCGGCGGGAAGTTTAAAAGGAAAAAAAAAACACATAGAACAAAAAAGGAAAAAAAATAATAATAATCATACCGCCAGGGAGGTTAACTGTCCCATGCCTTCCTGGTGACCACCAAAGATGCCTGGCAGCATTACAATAGGATGGCATGGGGAAAGGGTTGGATAGCAGACTAGCGTGTGATCATGTAAACTGTGGACAGTATTTGCATAACAGAGCACTGCTAGTTTTGGACACCCAATGTTGCTTTATGGGTAAGCCGAGAATGTGAGCCGGTAGCTGGGAGTACATGTGCACTGTGAACCTGGGACATTTTAGAAGGTAACTTAAGTCCACAGGTTAACATAAACATACCGAAGGATTAAGTCCAATTCAGTCTTAATGTAAATCTTAAGATTATGGCAAATCCAACTGATTTTGATGTAAAGCATTCAAACTTCTTAACCAACATCAATCCAAAAAACTGGCATTGCAGATTAAAGGAAAAATCACAAAGATACCATCGTAATCAATACGAAAATAGTATGAGATACATTGTGCTGTAAGCTCTGGCCAATCATTCATTAGCTCACTTGTGACATCACTAGCAGACATTAAAGATCAGGACAGTATAACAAATTAGTAAATTACTTTTTTTCATTTGCATAAAACCAGTAAAAAAAGGCTCCGTGCTCGCAATGTACAGTCTATCCAAGTCACTTTTTCTCTATAGTATTGAAAAAACTTACCATGATTTGTGTGTATTCTTCCAACTTTATGTCTTCATATGGTTTGTTTGCCTTCTTTAACAAGTCCTTAAGAAAACTCTATTTGAGACACAAAATTTGGATAAGTTACTTACATGTCAGCATTTTTGTCATTGTATTTACTGTAGGTGAATACCACTTCAGTTTCAGTCTTAGTATTAACACCTATACAACCAGAATGTTTTTTTGGGTGGTTTTAGGTCAAATTACTTTTGTATTATGATATGTTGAACTTGTAATGGCTCAAAATTCCCACTCGCCCCCTCGCAATTTGCGAGTGAAAATTGCGTGGGGGCGAGTGGAAATTAAGCCATTGAGTCAGGCACTCAACTCCTGGAGGGACTCCTGGACCTCCTCGGGGCGGCTTCCCTCCTCCTCACCGCTCTCCTCCTCACCGACATGATGACAGCGCTCCCTCGTCTGTCTCGGGGGGGGCGGGGTCGCAGGAGGGAGCGCTGCCAGCTGTAAGGGTGGCCAAGCTGTGAGGGGGAGAGGAGCCGCGCCCCCAGCTGTCAGGATGGCCGAGCGAGGAGGAGATTGGAGCCGCTGTTATCCTGTCAGTTTCAGGATGCCAGCGTCTCTGTGCGTGGCAGAGTGGGAGATCGGTAAATATCAGTGAAATTTACTGATCCTCCATGTGAGAAGGACAAACACCGGAGCGATCATCTGATCACTCCAGTGTTTGTAAATAACTGGGGACACACAGTGCTATGTGTCCCCAGTTATGAATGAACAGGCTGTGATTTACATCACAGCCTGTTCATTCAAGATTTCCTCAATGGGGAGAAGCACTCAGTACAGAGGCTCCTCCCCATTCTTAAACTATTGATAGTAAATATTTTTACTATCAAAGGCGAGTAACTTTGAAGGCCTGGCTAGTAGCTCAAGACCTGAAATTTTGAGCCCTGGTCTATCCTATGCAACATACTTTTTATTTGGGGCAGATAAGGCATTTAAGTGTGTGTAAAGTCTCAGTGTTTTTTCTTGTTTGTGCATATAGTAGGGAAGGGTTTTTTTTTTTTTTGCTAGCAATTGTCGCCAAGACAGAAAGGGAAATCCAACATTTTAGAGTTGTAATTAGAGCAAAAAAGGATGGTCTATTTAAATGTAGCCCTTCACCTATCATTAATGTAAGGCTTATGTCAGTAGCAGCATGAGCCTTTAAACACACTCCCAGCTGCTACAGCAGCCAGGACTTTGTTCAACCCACACACACACCAACTGTCAGCTTTGTGTTGAAAGTGATACAGACTTCAATCACTTCCATGGGCTTCAAAAAAAACCCTCCCCGTAGTATAACTCATGGGTTTCCACAATCAATACATGTGAAAGCAGTCTGAAGCAACGCTGTGGCTGAAGACAATGCCTGGGTCTGAAGTGGTTTAAGAAGATATAAAATGTACACATATCAAAACCCCAATGCAGTCTCATTTTCAGAACAACCCTTTCAAAAAAATCTGTTCTGTGTATGTCTGTAACAAATAAATCAAGGCAACTAGACATACTGTATTGTCTCTTGAGAAAGCTAGTCGGATGACCAGGGAAACATCTTCAAGAAAAATACAGCAAGTCCACTTGCCTTGATATACTTTTTACAGATATATAATGACCTGGATGAATGAGAACCTTCACAGACATATGTTCTGTGTATGGGTCCCCATGGCTCTAACATCTATGCATATGGGTCATACACAGAAAAAAGAACAAGTATCACTTTTGAAAACTTTTTAACAGAAAATGTTTTCTTTGTACACTCCATTTGAGAGAGTCAATATTGTTAGCAAGCTACATTTAAAGACCTGAACAGCTTTGTCTTTATGGCAAGGGGGGCAATTGCCACCCTGCCCCCTGGCCCAGTCCGCCCCTGCAATGGGCAGTGTGAAGTATTTGTACATTATACTGTATATGCCAGCTGTGTTAAAGCAGTTCCAGTAGCTTATAAAATGATAAACAAGTCCCAGGTCTGTCGTAAAAGTATTTCTTAATCTAGTGTGAGCATTATTATACCAACAATCACGTCTTGCTGAGTTATTATTCAGTAATAACTATGGTGTCAAACATATATACTCCTTTGAATTTCACCAGCAGTGTATCTATATTTTTTTGATTCTTATAGAAAAATGAATGCCTAAAATGTTATGTATGCTCTCTATCTGCACCCTAGAGTAGTATTTAAATATGTTACTACATATATATTACCTTAAGTTCGTCGGTTTCTATGAAGCCACTGTGATCAGTGTCATATCTTCGCCATGCCTATGAAGATAATATGCCCATGTGAGAAACAATTTCCAGTAACAGTTCGATATAAAATAATACATCACACCAAGTACAATATATGTGTTACAATATGACAATAACTTAGAGACTCTATCACTTTACCCATTCAGAGCAAAGTAACAGAGTCTCTTGCCACTGCACCCCCCAACCCACTATTTATTTGTGTAAATTCTTCATTGTCTTAAAGAGCTCTGTGAGCTACTGTTCTCTATACTGATGTAATGGTGGGCGGGGGAAACTGCAGGGCCCAGCAGGGGGGCCATGCTTTCTGATTTGGATGTATATAATAGCAGTCTGGCGATTTTCATTACAGTGGAGATTTGACACACTGCCCACCAGAAAGGTAAGTTTTAGGCCCGGTTCACACCTGAGCGTTTTACCGCGCGTTCCTACGGTAAGAAACACGCGGCAAACGCTAGTTTCCAATACGCTAAGGTGTGAACCCAGCGTAAAGATTTTGTAAAAGTAAAAAAGTGTAAAACTTTTGCTGTTGTTGTGTGTTTGTGTGTGTGTGTGTGTGTGTATATGTTTGTGTGTG